GTTTCTAGGAAAAAAAAAAAAAAAAAAAAAAAAAAAAAAAAAGAACGAATCAAGTGGGGTAAAGCGTGCTGCTTAACGGTGAATGTATAAGTGTAATTACAATTATTCAAACAAGAATAGAAAAATAACAAAAAAAAAAAAAAAAAAAAAAAAAAAAAAAAATCTAGGAGGCATTCTGTGCAAAGATGAAACTCATTCGGTTTTTTGTAGTCGGTCGCTGATGCGAGAGGATCAAATTTTTTTCGTCGCGCGGTGATGAGTAGTGCTGTTATCGTGATGCGAAAGAAAAAACAAAAGTATAATGGGTCAAGACATACACAAACACACACACACACACACACACAAACACGCGCGCGCGCGCGCGCGCACACACACACACCAAAAAAAAAAATTTGAAAATGAAAAAAAATCTGTATGAGGATTTGTGTCACTCTACGTCATGTACATAAAAATCGGTGCGAGAGAGAGAGAGGGAATGTGTGATACGTAAGTATGTATGTATGTATGTATGTATGAAATATAGTATGATAGGAGAAAGAAGCAAGGTTTACATACAAATATGTGATGTGTATATACACACTATATATATACATGCATATATATGGAAATATTGAGATATATTTGTAAATTCTGTTATTTGAATGCATTATAAATATTTTAACCTCCTGTAATGAAATATTTAATAAAAAACGTTACCAACCAATCCGTCTACACTTTTAGCCGGTGTGTTTAGAATAACACGTGCGTCTATACGAAACTTGTACTTTTCTTTATATGCGATGGTACAAACAAGAAAAAAGAAAAAAAAAAAAAGTGAGGGAAGGAAAGCTGTGTAAATAAGACACGCTTCTGTAGAGCAATAACGATTATTTTGCGATATTATTGATAATTATTATTAAATTTGTAACTCTCTGAACAGTGACATTGTTTAATACATGATTCCTTTACTCGCGTGCGATTACGAGACAATGTCATTATGAGACCGTAATGTCATTTGTAAATAAATCGAAAGAGAAAACTGGTTGAAGTATACTCTTAGTCTATTCTGAGAGAAGAAAAAAAGGAAAAAAAAAAAAAAAATGTGATGAAAGTCTAGCATTTAATTATGAGATGCACCGCTTGAATTCGTTTGTACAAAGTATAATATATAATTTAAATTCAGATTCAATTGAATAGTACAAGATACGCCGAGACTATTGTTTTAAAATGATACGTTGAGGTAAATTGTATAAAATGTTGCTTTTTTTATATACGTACATTTCTCGGGACTTCTGTATATATACATACACAATATTCACGAAGCAGGAGCGATTCAACAAAAAAAAAAACAAAAAAAACAAAAAAAAAAAAGGAAGAATCTAATTGTAAATGAGCTAAACTTTTCTTAGAAACTCGAACAAGAATGATTCGGTGCATTGCATTTGCCGGATGGATATATATATATATATATATATATATAAAACAATAATACATATTGTGTGCTGTAGATGAAAATTATTAGTAATTTGTAATACAAATGAATTGAAGTAAATAAAAATGAATTAAATGTATTTTTTGATGTGGTTAAAAGTAAAACTAAATAAAATATTCCGCAATAATAATTACTAAATGAACGAACGATTCAACGTTGTTTTGATAACCTGCATCTGTTTTTCACTGCAAAAATGTTATTTTTTACAGTTTACAGTCGCATCGTCGTGCAATCGAAGATAAGGATATAAGAAGTAGTAACGCCGGATAGTGTCAGAATTTTCGTTCCTCTTTCTTTCTGAATTTGATTAACTGGCCATTGAAATTAATTTTCACACGATTGATGAAAGGAATGAAGAAAATAACAAATTTGCATGAACATACGAATCGAGCTACTTTGTTAAAAATTGCTAAATTGTGGACATTTTGAGTGTAATCGATCCACAGGACTTCCGTTATGTAAGAGTGTGCATGTATGGTAAAGTAAGCGGCATAGATTCTGCATTATGGTTCCACATAAATGTGTTTATTTATTTTGCGTTGTGTAATATATCACTTATTATTTTTATATCCTTGTTTCGTCTGTATTAAGATGAATTTTTGTAAAGTTGTGTAAATAAATCGAACGAACATTTTTAAACAATAGTAACAGAACAGCTGCAATAATTTTATCAAGAGTCATGCGTCTTCTAACTTGATCCGTAATCCGTGCAACGATATTCATATTAAGATTTTATTACAATTCAATTTCGTTGTACGTATATACGATGTCATATGAATGAATTATTTGTTTTCAGCTGCAAGAGGAGCTTGAAATGCTCGTGTGTCCACGCACTCGTTATCGACAATCTGTACGGATGTGGTGTTTGATATATTCCAGGAAGTTCGTCAAATTATTACAGAAGATCCTGCGTATGTTTGTGATGTAAAATATTTAAATAAACTGGATGCTGATAAAGTCGAAGCTGTCGGTTTAAGAGGACGACAAGGTTGTAGCAAAATGCTTCTCCAATTTGGCCAATTCTCGCGGTATTCCGTTGCAGTCAGATGCACATCGGAACGTTTCATCAATCTTCTCGCCATGTATATTATCTCCTTCCCGCAGGATACTGTCCAAACTATTCGTCGCTAGTCTGAACGTGTTCTGAAGGGTTCTGAAGAAAAGAAAGAAGAAGAAGAAGAAGAAGAAGACGACGACGGAGGTTGAAGTAGATGGGCCTTGAGAGAGAAGAGAAAATCATTTCCTCCTGTATCTATTGTGGGAATCCGCGAATAAGCTCCGCGGTGTCACGCAGCAGCAGCAGCAGCAGCAGCAGCAGTAGCAGCAGCAGCGGGGTCGATTGAAACGGCGAACGAGAGAACGGGCGATAAAAAGGCGAGTCGGTGGGAGAAGGATCAGACGAGCCGGTGAGCATTGCCAGTAGTGCCATCTGGTTATCGCGATACCGTTACGAGAGGAAGGGTCAGGGGGTGAATATTGACGCGACTGCGCGATCCTGTCGACGCGGTGGAAGAGGGTAGGCGCTTCCGCGTTACGGTGCGAAAGCGCGGCCGCTGGAGGGACGAAGAGAGAGCGAAGGAGAGGAAGGGAGTCGAAACGAGAACGAGAGAAGGAGGGGGACGGCCTGAAAAGCTCGGGCAAGCCTGGGTTCGATCGCTCAATATTCATCCCTTGGCCGGACGAGAGCGCCCGAGAACAGTAGCTCCAGACGAGGGCACGAATCGACCCTTCCTTCCTTTGCGTCCTCGCCCGCGGAACTGTTCGATCGCGGCACCGTTCCACCAGAAGACGAACAACAAGATCAGAAGAAGGAGCGTGCCGAGTCGGGCCGAGGAGTAAGAGAGAGAGAGAGAGAGAGAGAGAGAGAGCGAGCGAGCGAGAGAGCGAAGAAAAAAAAAGGAATTCGCGCATTCGTCGTCTTACGTTCGTTCCAATCGTGGTGACTCGCGGCGAGAGATCGTTCTCTCCATCTTTCGTTTAACCGATCGGATATGGAGGGTAAAAAAGTCGAGCAGTTTTATACCCCGCCGCCGAAGCTTGGCAAATGGGAGGGTTTTAGGGTCTTTCTATGGAACTCCGAGACTGGACAGTTCCTGGGGCGCACAGGCGCTAGTTGGGGTAAGTTTCTCGCAGTCAAACACTATCAAATTCCCTTCTTCTCCCCTTCCTGCTTGCCAGAATTTATTATTATCGAGTCAAGTTCACCGTCGTTTAGCGTCAGAAAGTTTCATCCTTCGTTTCCTTTTTGAGAGAGAGAGAGAGAGAGAGAGAGAGAGAGATTCGATCGTGCAGTCGACAGTTACCATCGTTTCTTTGAGAGATTCCATCGTGCTCGCCTGAGAATTCTTTTTTCTCGAGGAAAACGACGAACGTGAGAGACATTTGTTCGACAGTGGTTCGAAGGCGATAATAGATTTGATGTAACAAAGATTCGTTCGCGACGTTGTCCCGAGTTGATTGTTTCGGAAAAATTCTGTAGCCAAAGCGTCGGAAAAGGTCGGAAACTTGATAATTCGATTGACATTTAATCGTAACCCCATCGTTCCTGACGTAAAGGCGTCGCAATGTACACGCGCACTGCAGATCAGTAGCGGTGCCATATATCTAGAAAGAGCTTTTGTCCTGCATTCGAATGAATAAAACCGTCCCGATTGCGGGTCCAATCGATTTCGATATTTCGTTACGTTTCGTCCCACTAAATAATCACGTCCGTTTCAATTCTCCTTCTCGGTTTCTGTACCGTCTCGAGTCTCGAAACTATGCCGAGTCCATTGTAAAAATTCATTCCGTTCACAAATAAGAAAACGACTTGGAAACACGGCTGTGAAACATCGTTTCTGTTCCTTTCTTCAACGATAAAGAAACGTTCTTTCTCGATTCTTCTGTCAGAACGCTGTCTGGTCCTCTGTCATTTCTCACCGAAATTTGGTATTCGTTCTGTGGCTGGCTTTTTTCCGCCTCTTTTTCATATGTTCGGAGATACGTATCCCAAGATTCTCAATGGGATCTTCAAAAGAAACGGAAGGGGCGGCAACCTCACGGATTTCCCATCGTTCTATTTTCATCTTCTATAATATGTTTATGAGAGGGAGCCTCGCACGGATTATCTCTAACTTTTTGAGTTCTTAATATAAAACCTCTTTTAACAGATTAGGAAAATGTTGTGCTAGGTGCTTGCTTCTTTATATTAAAATTCTTTGTAAATCGAAATGTACCGTTGTGTACCGTTGTCCTTATTCGTCAGTCAGAGGTGGGGATTATTAAAAGTAACATTTACAACACGGAAAGTGCATAATGTAATAGGTGTTGTACGTATTTTTAGTTGTTATTCGTATTAATTTATTTCACTTTCTCGTGTAGTGTATAGTATGTAGTGTTTTTCGACGCATTTTCTATGATTATGCCAATTCCGTGTGATACTACCCAGTGACGTATCACAAACGAATTCTCCATATTGTCGTGTTATGTAATGCAATTGCGGGGAGATTTGGTCGATAACGTGTAATGAGTTGATCTCTGCATCACTAACCGATCGACAAAACTTTCAGCCCATTTTGTCATCATTTTTGTAAAACTAGGATTTTTGCTACGGTGAAAGAAGCAACTGTTCGATATAAAATCATTAGTATAGTAGATTGGCGTGCAGGGAAGTGTAATATATTTGTACGTGATACAACATCTGAAATGAAAGATTGATATAATTCTAAAACGTATAAACTTATATTATTTTACTATCACTTCTGGTACATCTTTCCTCCATTCAACCGTTTTCCTCTCAGAAACTCGATCTGTAATAAAATTGTTGCACAGATCATTCGATTACATTTCTTACTATTATTTGCGTAGTTGCATCTTTGATGATAAATTTTTAATCGACTGATAATTCAATTTAACTTGTATTAACTTGTGATATTCTTAAAGTTCAATGCAAGTGCATCTTGAAAAAAAAAAAAAAAAAAAAGGAGAAGAAAAAATCAAACGAACAAATCGAACAACTTTTATCACAGATTTCGTTCAATTTCAATCGTAATAAATTATAATTGTGAAATGAACTTGTTGGGAAAATTAAGCTGAAAGATAAACATGTTTGTTTAAATCTGTTTTATAATTGGAGAAATCTCGAGTATCACGAACAAATATTATCGTACTTCGTATTCTCGGCGCGTCATCACTGATAATGCTTTCTTGGAAATCTTTCTCCTTGACAATTCGGTGAATTCGCAATATGTTTCTTGCAACGTTAAGAAAGCAATTCGCCCGGCTGTTCGTGTTATTGTGTTAGCGTACTTAAAGCTGCTTATCTATTCGCCTTTGCCAGCTACATTCTTTCCATGTTCCACTGTCCTTTTCCCCTCTTCTTCTCCTAAAGTTGATCGACTTCCGCCAAAATCAATACAATCCAACGGTCTTACCATTCCGTAGAAATAGCTTGCTCTGATTCTGCACGGTTCGCTTGTTCCTGGTCCTCAACATACAATTAACGTTGTCATTCGATCTAGTTGGAAAAATAGAATCACCAGTAAACAAGTTTATTTCAAAATATTTCAAACATTGCAAACACTTTTGTCGATTGAGTTGAACTGTCACGTATTTTACGTGAGCAAACATCCATCGTTGAAACTTGTATTCTGACAACGTTTCAAGTCGTATAGATTTTAAATAATATATAATAACAGTCTACTATTATGTAATGGCACAAGCGTGGCTTTTAATTCTATAGAGACTAACGATAAATGACATTTTACATGAATTCATCATCGGAAGTTAGAAATGTGTTAATCTAATAAATGCATAATGGAAGTGTGCATTAATTTCCGAGTGAATTGTGGCGTTCTGTCAAGTGTATACGAGCGAATTACGTAATAACAATTGCACGTCCGTGTATAGTGCCGAAATTCTCAGATTGTCAATTTACTGGGAGTTCAGTTGAATATTTTCAATGCCATCAGCAGTCAAGGATAAAGTCGGAGAAGTAAAATCGTAGAAACTGTTCGCGGAAAAATTCCTCCGAGGAACGAGGAATGTGTTTCGAATGCTCGAAGAATAACAGAGGATGAAACGTGCACCTCTTCGATGAAGAGTTTCTCGAAACGCATTTGTCGAAAGTGGGCTTTTTCGAGTGAAAAAAAAAAAAGAAAGAAAAAAAGTAGATCGAATTGTATTACATTTTCGTCCAAATATACGGCACGCTATTGCAGTTGCTGTAGTAACGTAACATTTTCACGGTTTTTTTGAGATATCGATCACTTCGTATGCGGAACGCGGCGGCGCTACAAACTTAGAAGCCATCACGGTTCTTTCATGAAGTAGGTCATTGATATTGTTGCACCTACGTTCGAATTTCTTTGCAGAAAAATCGCTGGTATTTATAGTGTTTGCTTGTCGATGGTTTTACCAACGGAAGCGAGGAGCTGTTCGCGTGACAGGTGAAATATTTATCGAAATGTTACAACATTTTCATCTGTTCCACACGAACACTCTTGTTCTTCGCTCTTACGTAGATCCCCTGCACATTTGCAAACGTCGAATTTGTCAGAATATCAAATGAAATTTCTTTGCTGCTGCTTTATTTTCTTAGTAATTTTTTCGATAATCATACATAATTAGGAATGATGAGGATTCTTTGACAAATTTAATATTTTGTCATTGCTAGTTAAATGGAGTTTCTTGTCAAGCTGAGAAGAATTCAAGAGCTTTGTGAAATCAACAGGATTACAAAGTGTATTTGGTATCGTCAAATGAACAGGATACAGTAGGGAAATAGCGTGGAATTTCTCGCGAACGCGGGAGGATAAAATAAAATTCAATCTTATTAACGCAGTGATATTGGTCAGAATGTAGGGAGCCATGTCCACAGGGATCAATAACCTGCTCTGGTTTCCTTACACGACGAAACGAAGTTCTAGCATTTAAATTCGCTGGAAATCTTTGCTTTCCAGCGTGTAAGGGAAAAATGAAAATGTACGTGTTTTTTACAAGCTAGAGAGGATGAATTTTCATTGCTGACTGTCAACGTACGTGTGTAGACAATCGTATGAAAGCAATCGTATGAATATTGATGTCATGATTGTAGAGTGGGTACAAGGACAAAATCTTACATATACGTATGTACGTAGTCGTCTTCGCGTTTAGTCAAATTCACTTTTACACCCTCGTTGATAGTTGGACTTTTAAAAAAACGGCAAATACCAATGTGTGTCGTAAAATCTGGCGAAAACAATAATAATGGATTCGCTGGATTTTGGCTTGTTAACGAAATCTTTTTGGTGCAGTGCCAAATGAAACTTTGACTATACTTGAGCCTGTTGTCGAGTTTCCTAAATTAAACAACCTCGGGGTTAGTTATTACAAAAATAACGACGCTAACTTAGCTAGCCGCTAAACAGACACATAAAGTGTAACATCACTTCTGTTACAATCTGAATGAAATTACGTTATTTAATGTACTGGCAAATTGACAATGCAATCTAATGCGAATATACAACGCGTTATGATTGCCTTTGAAGACAAATCGCTCGGAATAAATGCTCATCAATGATTCTTATTGCAAACTCGCAGCATCGCTTACTGAATGCCAATTCAGGCCAATTAGATCTCGGATCATAATTGTTTCAATGTTTGTAGACATCAGCTGCTGTGCGTGTATCTGCAAAAGGAATTTATTGCCAACAAAAAGCATTTATTTCGCCTTGTAATTGATCTCAGTGCGACCGTGGCTTGCACGTGTGTATGTTTCAAGTTGTTTTCTAATTGATTTCAGAGATTTTTTCTCTTTACACGTGCATTGTATACATACTTGCTTTTTCTGTCTTGAAACCTCTGCATTGCACAGAGTTTAACCGGTGCAACAATGATTGAATGAAATGATGGATTTAGAGGATTATTATTAAAAAAAAAAAATTGACGATTTCTCATCTTTTTTGCATTGCAGCGAAAATCTTGTTATTCTACGTTATTTTTTATGCGGTGCTGGCTGGTTTCTTCGGAGCGATGTTGACCGTTTTTTACCAGACGTTAGACCCGAACGCGCCGAAATGGCAACTGGACAATTCCTTGATCGGAAGCAATCCAGGACTTGGTTTCAGGCCCATGCCACCTGCGAGCAACGTGGAAAGTACCTTGATTTGGTACAAAGCCAGTGACGAAGGCAACTTCTTACATTGGACCAGAGAATTGGATAAGTTCCTTGAAGGTAATTCTATCTAGACATTCTTCTATGTCGCGAGTCACACGAAACGTAAAAAATAGTAAAAAAAAAAAAAAAAAAAAAAAAAAAAAAAAAAAAAAACGAAAAGAAGAAGCTGAAGAATGATCGGTATACCTGCGAATATCGGAAAGAGTTATTCTTCTGAGGTATATTTTGTATTCGGTGAAAAATCATACAATGCTCGATGTTCCGAATGGTCGATGAAACGAAATAAAAAGCTAAAATACAGACGTGGAATATTATTTCCATAGACACATTACGACGCTAATATTAACCGATAAGCGAGAAAATAGTCTTTGTCCTAACGAGCCAGTTACGTCAGGAACACGTTAAATCCGGTCAAGGTGAGACCAATCTTTGGATCAAAGTTTCAATGCATCTTTTCCATTTCTATTTCTACATTACATAAGTACATATAAATAGAGAGTTTGTTGCATTGTTACGTACAGCGACAAGTACGTCCTTTCATATAAATTATTTGTAACAATTTTTAGTAACTCTTTCGTCGACAGAGAACTAGCGTTTTGAACATTTCTTGGACCCTCATCTCGACTCTAATTTACAACTAACGATACTGTAGGCACGTGATAATCACACGGAGGGATTAATTTCTAAATTCGTTCCAGAGTACCAAAAACCTGCTACCTTGACGAACGGCGCCCAGAAGAGGATGCTGTGCGACTATGGCAAACCACCGACGCCCGGTAAAGTTTGCGACGTTGACATGACCACGTGGGGACAGTGCACGAAGAAAAACAAATACGGTTACAACAAGTCTGCCCCTTGCATTTTCCTCAAGTTGAACAAGGTACGATTGACGTTAAGTTTGGACAAAAAAAAAAAAAAAAGAAAAAAGAGAAAGAAAGTTTGTCACGATTGGCCATGACTTTAGATTTTCGGCTGGAAACCGGAATATTACAACGACACGAAAAACCTGCCGAGTACCATGCCAGCCGATCTTCAAGAGCACATCAGACAAGAGGAACACGCCAACAGACTGGATACCGTTTGGGTGTCATGTTCTGGTGAAAATCCTGCTGACGTTGAGAACATGGGCGCTATTCAGTACATTCCGCGTCGTGGTTTCCCTGGATACTATTTCCCTTTCACAAATACCCCTGGATACCTTAGTCCCCTCGTAGCTGTCTTCTTCGAGAGGCCTAAATGTAAGTGTCGAAATTTTTCTGGATTTATTTTCGATGCTTGGCGATCAAGATTCTTGAAATAGTGCGAGATAATATATACAACAGCGCAAAGCTGTTTTGTCTGACAATGAAAATTATTAAAACTTTAAATATTGTTAAAAATATTCGATTACGTTTAATATAATATTATAATAATATCATGTACAATTTATTTGATAATTGACAATAATATTTAATAATATAATGATATTATATATAATTATATTTAAAGTGTCTTTGTCTTCTACTTGTCGTTGATTTCCAGACAGTTTGTTGATCAAAGCTGAAGCATCGAAATTTTTCCAACAATAAAAAGTATTAAAAATATTCAATCACATTTAATATAATATTATAATAATACAATGACATTATATATAATTATATTTAAAGTGTCTCTTCATCTTCTACTTGTCGTTGAGTCAGTGTGTTGATCAATACTGAAGCATCGAAATTTTTCCAACAATAAAAAGTATTAAAAATATTCAATTACATTTAATATAATATTATAATAACATAATGACATTATATATAGTTTATTTAAAGTGTCTCTTTGTCTTCTACTTGTCGTTGACTTCCAGACAGTGTGTTGATCAAAGCTGAAGTATCAAAATTTTTCCAACAAGAAAAAATATTAAAAATATTCAGTTACATTTAATATAATATTATAATAACATAATGACATTATATGTAGTTTATTTAATAATTAATAACAACAATATTTAATAGTACAATGACATTATATATCAATTACATTTAAAGTGTTTCTTCATCTTCTACTTGTCGTTGAGACAGTGTGTTGATCAAACCTAAAGTATCGAAATTTTTCCAACAATAAAAAGTCTTTAAAATATTCAATTAAATTTAATATAATATTATAATAACATAATGACATTNACTCCTGATACTAAATCTCAAATTTCAGCCACAAATGTCTCCTGGTTGTCAAGATATTAGTGCTCGAAAATTTTTTGAATATTTGAAGTATCAGGAGCACAGCAGGATCGATGGTTTCGGTGTGCCACCTCCTCGGACCTCGTGTACTCCTGATACTAAATCTCAAATTTCAGCCAGAAAAGAACTCTCGTTTTAAAGACACTTGTGCTCGAATATTATTTGAAAATTTGAAGTATCAGGAGCAGGGCTGGTTCAATAGCTTCGGCATGCCACCTCTTCGGATCTCATATACTCCTGATGCTAAATCTCTAAAAAACATTTTTAGAAAATTTGAAATATCAGGAGTACAGCTGGATCGATGGTTTCAGTGTGCCACCTCCTCGGATCTCATGTACTCCTGATACTAAATCTCAAATTTCAGCCACAAATGTCTCCTGGTTTTCGACATATTAGTGACTGAAAATTTTTTGAGTATTTGAAGTATCAGGAACACAGCAGGATCGATGGTTTCGTTGTGCCACCGCCTCGGACCTCGTGTACTCCTGATACTAAATCTCAAATTTCAGCCAGAACAGTCTCCTGGTTTTAAAGATACTAGTGCTCGAAAATTTTTAAAAATCTGAAGTATCAGGAGCAGGGCTGGTTCAATGGTTTCGGCATGCCACCTCTTCGGATCTCATATGTTCCTGATGCTAAATCTCGAATTTCAGCTAGAATTGTCTCCTGGTTTTCAAGATATTAGTGCTAGAACATTTTTTGAATATTTGAAGTATCAGGAGCACAGCAGGATCGATGGTTTCGGTGTGCCACCTCCTCGGACCTCGTGGACTCCTGATACTAAATCTCAAATTTCAGCCAGAAAAGTCCCCTGGTTTTAAAGACACTAGTGCTCGAACTTTATTTGAAAATTTGAAGTATCAGGAGCAGGGCTGGTTCAATAGCTTCGGCATGCCACCTCTTCGGATCTCATATGCTCCTGATGCTAAATCTCTAAAAAACATTTTTTGAAAATTTGAAATATCAGGAGCACAGCTGGATTCATGATTTCGGCGTGCCACCTACTCGGACCTCATCTGCTCCTGGTACTAAATCTCAAATTTCAGCCGCAAATGTCTCTTGGTTTTCGAGGCATTAGGGACTGACAATTTTTTGAAAATTTAATGTATCAGGAACACAGCAGGATCGATGGGTTCGGTGTGCCACTTCCTCAGACCTCGTCTACTCCTGATACTAAATCTCAAATTTCAGCCCCAAATGTCTCCTGGTTTTCCAGATAAGAGTGACTGAAAATTTTTTGAGTATTTGAAGTATCAGGAACACAGCAAGATCGATGGTTACGGTGTGCCACCTCCTTGGACCTCGTGTACTCCTGATACTAAATCTCAAATTTCAGCCAGAACAGTCTCCTGGTTTTAAAGATACTAGTGCTCGAAAATTTTTTGAAAATCTGAAGTATCAGGAGCTGGGCTGGTTCAATGGTTTCGGCATGCCACCTCTTCGGATCTCATATGTTCCTGATGCTAAATCTCGAATTTCAGCGAGAATTGTCTCCTGGTTTTCAAGATATTAGTGCTAGAACATTTTTTGAAAATTTGAAATATCAGGAGCACAGCTGGATTTATGTTTTCGGTGTGCGACCTCCTCGGACCTCGTGTACTCCTGATACTATATCTCAAATTTCAGCCCGAAAATATCCTGGTTTTAAAGATGTTAGTGCTCGATAATTTGAAACATCAGGAGCACAGCTGGTTCCATGATTTCCTCGTGCCACCTTTTCGAACCTCATGTACTCCTGATACTAAATCTCAATTTTCAGTCATAAATGCCTTCCAGTGTTAAGGAAATTAGTCACTGAACATTTTTTGAATATTTGAAATACCAGGAGCACAGCAGGATCGGTGGTTTCGGCGTTCTACCTCCTTAGACCTCATGTACTCCTGATATTAAATCTTATGTTTCAGTCAGAAAAGCCTCCTGGTTTTCAAGATGTTAGTGATTGAACATTTTTTGAAAATTTGGGCACAGCTGTATTTATGGTTTCGACGTGCCGCCTACTCGCACCTCATGTACTCCTAAATCTCAAATTTCAGCGACATAAGTCTCCTGGTTTCGAGATATTGGTGGCTGAAAATTTTTTGAATATTTGAAGTATCAGGAGTACAGCAGGATCGATGGTTTCGGTCTGCCACCTCCTCGGACCTCGTGTACTCCAGATACTAAATCTGAAATTTCAGCCAGAAATGTCCCCTGATTTTAAAGATACTAGTGCTCGAAAATTAATTGAAAATTTGATGTATCAGGAGCAGGGCTGGTTCAATGGCTTCGGCATGCCACCGCTTCAGATCTCATATGCTCCTGATTCTAAATCTCGAATTTCAGCCAGAAATGTCTCCTGGTTTTCAAGATATTAGTGCTAGAACATTTTTGGAAAATTTGAAATATCAGGAGTACAGCTGGATTGATGGTTTCGTCGTGCTACCTCCTCGGACCTAATGTACTCCTGATAATAAATCTCAAATTTCAGCCAGAAAGGTCTTCTTTTTTTCAAGATATTCGCGCTTAAACGTTTAGAAACGTAAAACAAATCCAAATGTATACAGATACAGATATTGTCAGATATTTGTTGGGAATATATACTTTGTATAAAATCATTATACACACGAACCATATGAAAATATCTAATCTATCGAGGAATAGTAATTTCTTGCGCTTGAATGACGTCCCATGCACGTCGAGTGTTTTTTGTCCCAAAATATTTGTAATATTTTCTCAGTTTTATGTATATTAAAATATAACCCCGACAAATATTAAATAAACAAAACAAATAATAAATTTATTACTTCTTAGTGATTTCTATCCAATGATATACGGATGAATTAAAAAGAAGACGAATTATTGTATACGGTTTGGTCACTCGTTATGTTACGTGAATCTGTTACTAGCGGAATAAAGGTAAAAAACATTCATACAGCGGCTCGTGACTATTTAAGTATAAATACTTTCGTGATCGTTAAATTTTCCCCTATCGGCGACGCTCTTAGGTATTCGTACGTGTTAACCTAGTTGAAACTGCAAGATTTTAAATCACTACTTTGTCGCGACATTTGTCGTCCGCTACAGCGGAACGGGGAAACATGGAAATCCTATCGGCGCTCGGCCGTAACTTCTCAACGGTTCGACGCGTTTTCACTGTCGCTGTTCGCCACCGAAAACAACGAGAAACGGATCGAAAAACCCGCGACGAAGAAGCGTTGATGTATGTAGAAATTTTTCTCGTCGAGACCAGCGATATATCTCGATAATCAAGCCCCTCCTGTTGACGAGTATCCTTCCCTGTCGAACGTGACGTTCGTTGTCCAAATCGGTCGCGTGTTCGTGTCAAAGTTCAAATTAAAATGGCGACTCGCGTGCGAGAAACGTCGGGTGGCGTGGTCGGTAACATCGAACGAAGGATGCAAGCATATACCACTATGTCACCGCAGTCAGAAACGCTCGCACTGTCGCGCACACGTGCCCGAGCATGTGCACACTCTTGCGCGAGCATAGATACGTTTCGGTAGAATTGACCCGGATATAATCCGACGCGATGGTCCTGCAGCACAGCGGCAGGCCCTTCTCGAATCTGCTTCTCGGCCACTCGCCTCCGCTCTTCCGTTTCTACGGCCCTTCCGGCACGATGAGCCAGACGGCGCGCCGACCGGTAGTAGCCCATCGGTGTCCACTGTGTAGTAACTGTGTGGACTGTGCGGACTGCCAGCGGCCGGCAGGCTGTTGTGCGGTAAGTGATACGAACGCGAAACGGGTCAGCCGTTAAGCAGTGAAATCCCAGTCTGTCCGAGCAGTAGTCGATCGCCATTTTGTGTCCTGCAGCGTGGGCCACCACGTTACCACATTGTAGACGTTGTCCAACGGGAAGTTGTATTTAGCTTGTCGCTGTCGTACGTACGAGACGCCGTTTTATCGTCTTTTGGAAATTAGAGAGGTGTAGCGGCGAACGTCGTTCGGTAGATGGTATTTTTTTTTTTTGTATTTCGATAAACGTGCAAATATACTATACTGTAAGTCAAGAGATAGTCTATTCTATTCTAACCCTATGCTTATTTCCTGATGTTTCTTGATAAGATGCGATGAGGAGGCATATCAACGATGAAATATTATTGATGATTTAAATATTTGCGATTTCGTGAAAAGAGAAAAAGAAATTGTATAACAATCTACTAAGTTAAAGTAGCGGGAATGGGTAAAGATATCCTTTATTCAGAAATTATAAAAATTCGAACATTTCTGAGAAACGTTGAAAAACTTTTTTCATGCACTGTCAAAGCAGAGATTCTAGGATTTAAAATGGAATTAAGGAGACTGTTACATAATTTTCTTCTACAAAGTTAGCACAGTTTAAATTATCAACAATTTTTCATCGTTATTGATTCAATTATACTTTTTGTTGTGTCTTGTCTTTCTCAAATGTATAATGCTATACAACAAAATGTAAAGTTTCCTGTCGATATTTGTGGATGAAGAACTCGATGAATTTAAAGTTTTATTTATTTGGATTTCAAACGAAAGAGTCGCTGCAAGCAAATGGAAACTTTGGGCTCAAAAATGGCCCTAATAAATTCTTTAATTACTTGGAGAAACTTCGAAGCGATCCTAATGAATTCTTTAATTACCTTCGAATGTCAGCGACGTTCGTTTGAAGAACTTCTCGAGCAGCTGCTATACGTAAATTACTATTTCAAAAATTTCTCCATCAATTTCACAATCGTGTCACAATTGAACGATTGAAGTTCCGGCTATAAACGAAATCAATATCGCGTTGCTATATCTCACGAGTAAACTAATGGACATTCATACAAATTTATATTTACATAAACACGATTAAACAAATGGGACCCATGCAGAAATTCGATTCGTACAATATGAATATCACAAATGTCATATTTTATATACCTTTGCGTGCATGTATGTTATTTACCAATTTCTCACAGGTGCTTAAAAATCAGCGATCGAAGCACGTGTTTCTTCTATTCGATATCTATCACATCGCGATTGTTGCGTCTTCGAGAAAATCTTCGAAAACAATCGGAAGGAAGTTACGGGGAAATAATAACCGCTCGGATCGAGAAGAGGGAGAGAGAGAGAGACGTTGCCACCGCGACGAGACGTTCTAATAACGCGTGGCTCGGAGAGAAAAAT